GTCCACTGTGTGTGGAGATGTACCTTTTTCCCAAGTTGGTGTGGGTGTTCTGGCGACATCTTACAGTCCCTGTGTGTGTGTCTTTGTGTGATGTTCCCCGAGATAGAAGCACCTGTTATCTGGAGTTGGGTCCCATCTTGCACCCCAAGTTGCCAACGTAGGCTCCAGCCCTCTGTGACCTTGAACCGGATTAAAAGGGTCACAAATGAATGCATATCAACTGATTGTTTCATATTAGAAGTGTGTTGGGTCTTATTTAGAAGTCTGGTGATGTTTTTATGATCAGAAATAGGCCGTACAAAATTAAATTTTGTTTTCATCAATTAACCAGTGATGAAATTGCTCTTGTGACAAATCATTTCACTTAAAGTCATAGTTTCAGAGATCCTATCAATGAAGTTGAATAATTACTTACTATAATAAATAGCAAGTGAACAATTAATGAGAGAGCTAATTTGACCATAGCCTTTTGGGGACGGGGATGTTTCTAAAATCGGTTCATCGACATGTGGAACATACCACGCACCCAGTACCCCAAGGGCAGAGTTCCCTGTGGATGGTGTTAGGAAGTATGCATCTAACTTCTTGCCTACAGGAAAAGCTTGGGGGGACTTGCAGGTCTCCCAGAGTCAAATGTTCCCTGGGGACCGGTTGGCAATAAATGATTCAAGCTCCCCCAAGAGAGCCCTGGCTTGAATTTCAGCTGTGACCTTCTGAAGACTCCATATTAAAATGCAAATTTGTTACCTAGGAAGTTAATTTTTAACTCATTAATGTCTATTTGTTACTACTTTAGCTCAAATTAGGTTTTTCAAATTAGTTAGTTGGCAGAGTGGTACTTAAATGAAGTGTATCAAGATTCCTTGAGGTGAGCTCAAGGTAAACTTGAAAAAAGCTCCTTGGGAATGACTGTGATACATCCCTCCCTGCAACCCACTACAGCATTTGCACGAGCACCTGTCTGCTCGTGTCCACGTGCATACACACTAGTGGACAGGGGAAACGATGCTCTAGAGCAGTGCTGATGCTAGAGTAGTGCTATCCAGCAGAAATGTGTCACATCAATTGAGTTTAAGTTTTTAAATCAGCACATTAAAATAAGGTAAAGTAAAAATGCGAAATCAGGTTTAATGATACATTTTATTTAATTCTTTTATGTTCAAGGTATTACAGCTTCAATATGTAATCAATGTTAAGATTATGAATAAGGTTCTTTCCATTTTGGGGGTTCTAAGTCAATCCAATGTGATCTTTACACTTTCAGTTTGTCTTCATTTGAACATACCGTTTCTCATATGGTCAGTAGCTGCCTGTATGACAAGTGCAATTATATTATTGGACAATGCAGACTAGAAGGGCCTTGGACTAGAAAGCAGATCACAGATTTTGAAAGCATCAGATGCTTCCCCACTGCTCTGTGTACCAATGTGCTACTTTTGGTGAATATCAGTCTTAACCCTATGAAACTACATACAGTTTTTAGAAGACAAAAGGCTGGAGTGAAAGGCTGATTCACCTATGTGATCTTGGATCACAAAAATCCCTCAGTTCTTGCTTTGCAAAGGGTAATAGTTTTTATTTGTTTGTTTGTTGTTTATTTTTTTTGCAACAGACATCCAGGGTTGTTAGAAATAATGAAAACAGTAAATTCTCAATGAATGCTTGAGGTTGCTATTATTACTATTATTAGTTGTTTTTATGAATTAGTTTGAAGAGATGCTACCTATCCATCCATCTTTCTGTGTCTATCCCAAATGCAATCTCATTCTGGTAGTCAGTAAGCCAAGAAAGAAAAAAAGATTTTCTTCCTCCTCCTTGTCCTCATTTAGCTTTCTCTGTTATTTAAAGTCAGCAGAAGGAAAGTCTAATCAAAGTGGCTCAAAGGAAATGAATTCAAATCTAGCCACAGCGGCTTATCTCACAGTCCAAGGAATGCGCTCCCTCACTCTGTCCTGGTGGGACATCAGTTCCCCATGAGGGGTGGGGGCATGAGGAAGAATCTCCAGAGTGCACTTTGGCTCTCTGCAAACTTGTTTATCAAATCATCATCATTCAGAAAAGCTATCAGAATGTGATAGCTTTTCCCTAAAGGAAAATGTTGGGAAGTCATTGCTTAAGATATACCAACTGTGCCTTTCATGGGCATCTGTGTGGAGTGAGGTGCAGTGAAAGCTGGAAGGGGAAGTCCATGGTGAGTAATTGTGGGCCCACTCACACATACACCTCCACGTGCTGAAGAGCTGTGACCCTCGCAGAGTGAAGGAATGGGCTGCACTATTCATTTCGAGGTCACTTTTGCATACAGGCAGCAAAGTGGCTGTGTACACCAGACACCACTACTATATTTCAAGAGATCCTTTCTAAGAAATCCTGAAATATTAATAACATAGTCTTCCTGTAGTTGAAGACAAAAGAATGTGTTAAGGGTAGCAGGCGTTGCCGAAAATAGCACAATGACAATTTAGCGTTTTCTGCTTGCACTAAAAGCGAGAGGAAAAGAGAGTTAAAGTAGTGTTCTTAAAGAACAGCTACCCTCAATTTTCCAAATAGGTCTAGAACTCTGCATTCTCCAGTGAATTCACATTTTCCTCTTGGTAACATATTCGTAACAGTTTTAAGGAAAAGTAGGAAAAAAAAATGTCAAGTTGCAAATTCATTTTCCCCTTCAATTAACATATATATGTGTGCATATACACCCCTGCTGAAGATGTACATATATATTTTAAAATCTTTTAAACTTGAAGTAATTCCTGTAATTTGACATGGGTGAGCATGGCTGTAATTCTTTAACTGATTATAGTCTTATCAGAATAGACATTGAGGAGAAAAATCAAAACCTTCCCCTCCCCCGTCCTGCCCCGCCCACATTGTTTCCTGACAAGCATTAGAAAGTTCTCTGTTCTCACACTGCAGTGAATCAATCACAAAGCCCACCATCCAGGGGTCCATTGTTGACACCTGATGAAATGGAGGCCCACCTTGGTCAGTCGTGAGTTAAGGAGCATTTTGCTCTCACACCCAGATGTGAAAACCCCAGAGCTGTCTGGCACCAAGTGGCCAGGTCTCCACAAGCTGCTTTTGTCATTTGTGAAGACAGATGACAGATGAGACCCAGCGGGCTGTGTCTGGGCTCAGGGAAGCTTGGTGGTCGTTCCACGCAAGATGTGCTCAGCCCTCAGTGTTTCTTCCTGCCATCGCCAGGGCTTCAGATTCTCATGATAGACACACGGCTACCGAAAGCCGTGAGCAGAGGTGCCTTGGATGCTGAACCTTCTCTAATGATATGATGTGTATACACTGGAGGCACATAAATCACAGTCATTGGAGCAGCTTGTTATTCTAAGATGCTCCGGTCCAGTGAAAAGACGAAAGCAAATAAGGGAGAGATAGATCTCTGAGCGCTTTTATTGTTGGTGTGCCACACATCATAAAGTCTGGGCTCGTTAAAGGAAATTCCATAAACAACTTTAGTTAATAATGGTAGAAGTAACTGGGTGCCTTTCTGGAGCTTCTGCTGAACTCCCTTTCCGCCTGCCTTTACGAGAGCGTGATTAAGAAAATACCAACAGGATGTGCAAGAGGGTGGAACAGACTTCAACTGGAAGCCAGTGCAGATGCTTTCTGGATGAGTAACAGCAGAGGGATGACACCCTCTCTCTGCAGAGAACTGAGCAGTTTTGTGGAATTTTTTTCCTTCATATTTGCATAAAAGCTGGATTGCTGACTTGTTGGTCTCTTGGTGGTCGGGTAGATGGAACGCACTTTCTGGTAGTCTTGATGGTAGGACACATCCAATGGGTCTGATAAATGGAGAGACTGGACAATGAATCATGCTAGAAGGACTGTGGGTAACTGAGCTGTCACTTTTTTTTCACCTTTGCTCTTATGAAATAACTATTTTTTATGGCCTTGTCTGTGTAGGTTTATGACTGATGGTGTTGGTCAATTTTTACTTCAGGTTGAGGTTGTCTAGGGAGTTGAAGCTGAAGGACGTGGGAGATAAAAAATGGTGGAGTCAGCCTCAATTTTTTTTTTTTTTTTTTTGTGGGATGAGGGGAATTCACAGAAACATGGAGTCTGCATTGGTAAGAGTGTCAGTGTGGGGTTTGTAAGACGGAGAGTATGTCAGCACATTAAGAAATCAGATGACCCAAGTTCTCGGCTCTAGCCTCTCGGGGTGTATAGGCACAGGGAGGAAAGGAATGTTGAAACAGGTTTTATTAAATTGAAAATATGCACCAATTCTCTGTGGATCTTAAAAAAAATGACCTTAACCTATTGGATTCTGGAATCTATCATATATACTTTATTGCCCTTTCCCCTGGAATTTTCACTCCTCTCTTATCAACTCTACTTTTATGCCTGCTTCCTTTTTGTTGATCATTCACTTCGAGTCTGTCGGTAGCTGTAATTGGGAAATAACCACCAACCAATTTCTTTCTTAGCGCTTGGACACTCTTTCAGCTGATTGCTTCAAGACCATGTGCTCAGATTGTAAGGATGTGGTGAGCAGTACAAGCTTGGGTCAGGCTTTTACTTGGGGTCAAAGCTGGACCCTGGCTTTTGCAGATGTATGGAATTGGCAAGCTGCCACTCAAAGCTCTGGTATGCCTCGATTCTAACTGAAGGCTGGTGACATGGATAGAAAAGGGTCTTGGCAAGATCAGACAACAGCAGGTATGCAGGCAGGCTACCTGGCACCTACCCTGAAACACTTGAACACTGATTTCACCTGATTCCACCTGTTCTAAGGACCTTTCTTTCTTCTATAGCGCTCCTTGCCATCTGACCGGGAATGTTAATGAAATTTTCAGAATGACATTTTAAGGAATTTTTTCAGAATGACATTTTAAGGAATTCATTAATATTTTTTGGTTGCTCTACCTGCATCTGCAGCCAGATGGTAACTGGGGGGTAGCAGAAAAGTCTCCCTTCCTTGAGTTTTGTTGCACAGTGTTAGCAGTGCTTTATATGGATTTGTTTTTTCTTCTTTCCTTTAGCCTGCAAAATCGGATATTACAAGGCCCTCTCCACAGATGCCACCTGTGCCAAGTGCCCGCCCCACAGCTACTCTGTCTGGGAAGGAGCCACATCGTGCACCTGTGACCGTGGCTTTTTCAGAGCTGACAATGACGCTGCCTCAATGCCCTGCACCCGTAAGTTGTACACTTGTCCACATATCTGTGGTGCCAACGGCTTTCATTTCCACCTAGCAGGGTGCTGTCAGGTCTTCTCCCAGAAGAACCACACAAGGGGCAAATGAGATCAAACATGCATCTTTTCTCAATCATAGCAGGGGAAATGCATATGCAGAGAAAGAATCTTGCTGCGCTGGTTGCCTGCAGAAGGCACAGCTGCCAACAGACTACTCTGTGGAGCCGAGATTGAGCATTCAGTGCTTGTCTGACAGGGTAATTAGAGCTGAGATTGGAATTTATAAATGGCTTCACCATCTCCTCGAAAACTCTGGGGAAGCTTGACAGCTGCAGGGGAAACAGGTAGAGGACAAGGTCCCGACGATGGGCTCACGTGTGGGTAGGTGGTTTCAGTTGTGGGCACTGAGGTCATAGCTTGTGCTGTCATTCCCCTCTTCCTTCTTTCTTCATAGTTTTGTATTTACAACACTTGCACCCGGACCCCAGTAAATGCTTGCTTAATGATAGACACTTAGTAAAGGCTGGGCTGTGAATGGATGGGTTGGCACTGTGGGATGCAGGGGAGCAGAAACACCTTTGCTCATACTTTATATGGACAGCATCCTCGGGGCACCTCTGGTCCTACGTGCTCTCTTCTGCTCGCAGCCTCTGCATGGCTGTCACTTGGAGCAGAACAGGAGCTGGTGGGCCCAGCTGTTCTGCCTGTGTGTCCTCCCGAGAGTCTGTCTGTGGAAATCCAGCCCGGTGGCCAGGTGCATGGGCTTTCTGGTTTGGGATTTATTTTCCACCCCGCCCTTTAGAAGCTGAGTGACTGTTTATCTGTTTGTGTCTCAGTCTCCACATCTATCCAGTGGACTTAACCATGACACTTTTCTCATTGTTGTTCTCAGTCATCAGCCTCATTTCTTTACCTGCTCTGCAAAATGAAGTTACTAAATGTAGCTTAGTACTATTGACTGCATCATGACATACGATTTTGTTTCCTATTATGAATTCCCCTTGGCCTGTCTGAAACCAAATAGAAATATTTTATGGTTGGGACAGAGATGATATCTTTTCTTTCTTTCTTTCTTTTTATTTTTTATTTGAGGCACTATTGTTTTTAAATGTGGTATATGATTTAGAGGTATAGGATCAGTAGAGATAATTTCAGATGTGCTAGACCATTGTCTAGCACAGTCAAGTATCACCTTTAAAAGGGGTGGGGAGAGAGATTTCAGGTCTAGCCCACCTTTGTTTCTTTCATAACCAGAGACAGCAATAATAATAATAACCATGATAAAATTATACCCTGGTAATGCACTGGGTACTTCAGTAAACCTTATCACATGACTTCCTATTATAGAAAGCCCATAAATGAGTATTATCTTAAGTTTATTGCAGAGGTGACTGCCAGCTTAGAGATGTTAAGGTACATGCTCAAAACTTCACCCACACTTGGGGATCCAGCTGAACAGTCAGAAGACTTACATCACTTTATTTACTGGAGATGCTCTTCCCTCCCCTCTCCCCCCCAGAGTCCACTAGGGCCAGTCTTGGGCGGAAGCGTACATGGACAAAGACTTCTTTCTGTTCTCTCCAGGAACTAAGAACTTTCACTGGATGAAAGTGTTCCTTTGACATGCTTAACGCCCATGCTTTTTCTTTCTCAAACGAAGTATTTTGATCCTATTTTCCATTTTGCTTGATTTGTTTGATAGTAATTTCTCTTTCCCTATCCACATTTAGTACCAAGCATTTTCCAGTTAGGGAAATAGGCCACGATGGCAAACTCTAGGCAAATCAGCTGTCCTCTGCCTGGCACCTGTTCTTCCTCCTACTCTCTTTGCAGACGAAGCCCTCTCTACATGGAGGCTGGGTGGAGCTGTGGCATTTCCTGAAAGTCATCTTTGGCAAGATGACCAGTGATTCCAATTTGTTGTCCAGCTTTCCAGGGAACTACAGCCCACTGACCTCATCACTGCAGCCTGTTACATGGGAGCTCAGGGACACCTTGGAGGCACCACATGTCTGAGTTTCTGGAACTTACTGGGTGTGTGTCAGTGCAGTGGCAGGGCCCTTGGAATTTCACATATCTGGTGGAATAACTGTATACTGATGGTGTCTTTGGGAACAACGAAGTGTTGTTTTAGCACATGGGTGGACCAGAAAGTAGAAAAATTTAAGGAACTGCTCTTTGCAGTGTTTTGACAATGTTAACCCAAAAAGTTGGGTGACTTTTGGTGCTATCGATCAAAGACCCTTGAGAAGATCAGAGCAGTAAGAAGGCCTTTTCTCCTGGTACTGTGGGGGGCCATCCCAATCATGGGTTGTTGGAGGGCAGAATAGGCAGGGTCTCGAGGTGTGAGCGGCGTAGGTGAACGGAGATTCCTAAAAAGGGGGGGGGAGGGAGCAGGCACAAGAACGACACAGGAATCGGAATTGGGTGCAAGTCTTCCTCTTCTGATCTTAGCAGAGGTTTATTTTATACTTTAGAAGCAAGCAGTGGGATGACATCAGCACATGAACTGAGCTGAGAGATTATAATCATCTTTTTTTTTTTTTTTTTAAGAACAGTTTGGGGTTGTATTGTCCTTCAGCTGAGATTATAACATTTATTATTCTTAAAGTCAATCTATTAAAGTTAGGATAGGTACATAAATTCATAAAATTTAAGGCTAACATTGTTATATTTACCACAGTGATGACTGTCTAAAATAAAGTCCCTTTAAACCTTAAGTGCTACTTAATGATCTTCATTCTCAATGACATCTTAGAGGGTAAAGTCAAGGACTAGGGTGGAGGCTGGGCTGGAGATGTGAAGGGGGATAAGGTGAGGTCGTGGGCCAAGGAGAAGTTGTGAAAGAGGGTAAAGTCAAGTCCAAGACTAGAGTGGAGGAGTTTTCTGGTAGGTAAATCACTAAGGGAGATAGTAAGATTCCTCATTTAAAGACTGAGCAATAAAACTTAAGAGAGTAGAGTGATAAGATTTGGGTTCTTGTCCGGGTAGTAAAAGAACTTTAATTATTTTTTAGCATGTTCTAGTACTGCCTTATCTTACAATATTGAATTTGTTATAATTGCTTTTATTAATCGGTCAGTTGTAATATTATTTTTTGCTTCCTAGAGGAATTTCCTGTCTTGGGGCAGTGCTTGCTTGCCTGAGCCAGACAGCGCCATATGAGGCTAAGGCAATCCGGTTGCAAGCTGATGGTTGCTTAGAATATTTTGATATTACAAAAAAGGGAGGTCATAACATAAGTTAGCGTGGATATTCTGATTTTTCAGAGCACTTCCGTCTCTATCCGGAATATGTCAGTCGATAGAGGTTGCTTGTGTCATGGTACTGTCTTCAGGGCTTCATTCACTCAAGCTCTTGTGTAATACTGGCCTTTAACTCAGGATTATGCTTGATAACAAGGTTGCAAACTTAACTAGTCTGACCACTCCAAGCCCAGTTTCCTAGTCTGTAAAAGGCAATCCATTATCTAACCCCTGGAGTTGTTTAAAGAAATGAGTAAGAAAATACTGACAATGGTCTTGTACAGGGTAGGTTTCGTACCTGTTCTCCTCTTTTATCCCCAGCACTTTCTCCCCCAGGCCCTCTGGGACACATACAAGGGCAAGTTCTTGCCTCTCCGAGCTGATTTACCTACCTTGACTGCACAAGTCAATTATTAATGGCTGCTGTACTCTGCGGGATATCTGGGGGCAGGTCGGTCTTGGTGTTCACTGTTTTCACTCCCCCTTCTACTGTGGTTGAGACTACTCTACATGGTTGAGACTACTCTTGCATTTTTAGTTGCATTTCTTAAACATAATAAATAATAATCTCATACAACTCTTAAGAGACCTCCTTTGAGGGCCCTCCCTGGTGGCACAATGGCTTAGGACACAGTACTGCAAGAGAGCTGCAGCCGCTTCATCAGGAGTTTGATCCCAGCCAGGGAGGTAACCCACATGGTGTAGCAAATCTCTCCTGACTCATCTACTGCTCCCCTCAGCAGTTTACTTTATCAGTCTGCCTGTTCTGCTCCACACTCTTTCTCTGTGTCTGGTGAATCCACTTACCACCCCTGCACCTCTGGCCTACACCCCAGTTCTGTCTGTCTGTATGCATAAATAAATAAATCTTAAAAATAACAAAAAGAGACCTCTTTAGAGATAGGGAAAGTCAGGGAGGTGACTAGACTTGGGGAATAATAAATTAAGCAGTAGAATTTGAATCTATTCTAGTCTATGGTTTTCCCTGTCAATGTTTCCCTGACTTTAATATAGTGGCCCATCCAATCTAGTAGCAAAGACACATTTGGCTATTGAACTATAAAGTTACTATCATTAAATTTTAAATCCAATTTCATTGACACCTGCTACATTTGAAGAGTTCAGTAACCACATGGGGCAAGTAGCCACATACTGGACAGCACAGCTATGGAACATTTCCATCACTGCAGAAAACTCAGGTGGCTAGCCCTGCAATAGGCATTTCCATAGAGAAGACAGTGGGCATTTCTCAAAGGACCTCTTGTTCAGACAACCCAAAGAATGAAGCCCACCCCCCACCCCAGCTTTATCGGATTCTCTTGACAAGATGTGGGGATGGAAAAGAACATAAACATCAGGGATCTTTTCAAAGTGATTCTAGCCTCTAATCAGTTCTTACCAGTTGGTTAAGCCAGGTGACAAACCCAATTCCCTTGTGCTGACAGCCATGATAATGAGGGGCCTTCTTTGTTCATTATGCTGTCTTTAACCCCAGCATTCTTATGCAGTCCTGGGTTTAGTGATCGCTCACTGTGACGGCACACTAATGAAGAAATAAAACACACTCTCCGAGACTCATTCTTCTAGCCAAAGAGGGACTCTGCTCCACTGACTTGTAAAATCAGGTTTTTGTTCACTTGGAGAACGATTAGACCAGGTGAATACGAGCAGCATGGGCTAATTTAGGAGGAACGGCCTAAGAAATTCTTCACCCTGGCCACAATGCTAGAGAACTTCAGAGAGTTTGATGGTAAATA